ATTATCCTAAAGACTTCTGTCACACAAAAGACTCTTTTTATTACTAGGGCTTAAAAACTGTTGCGCCCACTCTGAACAGCATTTGCAACAAGCTACTACAACCAAATAAAGGTTAACCAATCTATATGATGTTTCATGACGGGTATAGCCCCAGTGAACCGACCATGCAGCTCAGCAAGTTGGACATAACAACATTACGTCAAACGTAACGAGGATATTCTGCCAAGACACCATATCTGTCGCCAACCGCTGCTTCTATTTGGAACAGATAGCTCTGTGCCCCCGTTGGATCTTCTTCAATTTATTTAGTGGGTATACTTACGTTTCAGGCTACGCAGACTGGTACATTGGTTTGGAAACGTAAGCTTTGTGCACGTGTTGGAGTTGTGTGGCTTCTACCTAAAAGGTGAGTTTAATGCAGCTTTTCTTAGTTTGCGCCTCGCTATCTCAGGAGGCTCTTACCACTTAAGCTTGACTAAAGCTTTTTGGTCCCATGGGTATTGCTAGATATAATTCGCATCTAAACATATTCTGTCACATCAGGCCTAGCAACTCTTGCTTTATCCACACATGTTCTTCCAAATTATATTCACTTCACATTTATAATCGGCTTGTAATTATATAATTTGCAACTATAAGTTAGTCCCTCCTGGTACTTAAAGACTAAAGCACTCACGTCTTTTTACTGTGTCGTATTGTGCTTAAGTATACTTAAGTAAATCGTAAATAATAATAATAAATATTTGTTCTTATATTCTAAGGTTTTCTGGTACTATATTTTTATTTCTTTATGTTAACTGCGTTTTTTTTTGTAATTTAAACTTGAATGTTGATTTTGCACATCAAAAAGTATTCCGGTCTTTACTTTTAATAATACCAAATACCCTTAGCAAATAGCAACAAATAAGAGGACATAAAATGCGGTCGCCTCAAACCTGTGCCGATCTCAGTGCTGAGATCTCTGTTGTTAGCTAACTATTGCCTATGAAACAAGTTACTCCCTGCTGAGAACGTGTTTTGTGCTTTCGATGTTGTCATGGATGATATATATATGACAATCACCATTGCTGTGATAACGTGCCTCTTTATGCATCTTAAGGTTATAAATGATTATTTAAACTCTACTCTGAGTGTCGTCAGTTTGCTTTGTAGTTAGCTATCTAAGGTAATGACTAATACGAGTATCAAACGTAGCACTCACAAATTCTATACGCGAGCCTATCCTGTTGACCTGATTTGTCTTTTCTTAGGGTGAACTATACTAACTTAAACGAAAGCCATTATGCGGGCGTTAGCAATGTAATTTCTTACGCTGTGCATTGAATCGCCGATGACAGCGTTGATAATTTTTGATGGAACTAATGAAACTAAATGAAAAATGACTGTAATATTACAAATCACTTGTATTACATCATTATTTTGGCTAATGTATATGTGTTTTTCTTTAATATTGCACACTATTGATATCGTTATTTGAGTGCAGAATCACAACAGTAACTACACACGTTTATCTTGGATTTGATGACGGGTTTACAAATACTGGGCTTCGAGTAAAAAATTCACGCACGCTAGTTAGTGGCAGCTCATTAAAAATACGGATTTATCAAAAGATTTACATTACGTATGCTTTATTGGGATCCAATCTAAAAACTTACTAAGCTAGTTAGCCAAGTTAGTCTTTAATCACCAGCTGTGTGTATGCTATGGGTCACTTTCCTCTTGGATTATGATATTGGTAATATTTCAAGGAAGGGATTTTCCTACTTATTACCATGATTAGAAGCTTATTTTGTTAATTATATGGTGCCGTTTACAGTACCATCTTCGATTCTCTGCAGAAGACCCGGAGCTTAATGTCCAAAAAAATGTTCCTACTAGTATATTTCCACAGGACTGTCACTGACAGTGCTTGGCCTATATGTCGACATGCAAAACCATCATTATATAAGCTGTCACTTTTGTCATAAAAAGATACTTTCTTCAATTCCTAAAATGTTCAGCTAAGATGCCTCTTTGCAGGTCAACAGCACCTTAGAGAATTCTAAGCACAATGTTGAGGGCTGCAGTACTCTACCAAACCCATTTTAAGACATGTCTGGGTTGGTGTTCGCAATAGGACCTTATTGATGGGATGTATTGTCCTTGTGGTGTTCTCCTAGATTGTAGCGTCTTTGTTACTCATCAAAAGCTGCCCATGTGATTCCTGTCTTAGTGCCATGCACATACAGGCCAATTTCCGCCTGTGGAGCTATTGGTTGGGTTCGCTCCTCTGCATTTAGTCAATGAACTAGCAATATGTTGAAGATCTAGGGGTTTCAGATTTAACTGTTATGAGACCTACTAGGCGAAATTCTGAATATAAAGTTGCAAGGCGTAATATAGAAGAGGGCCAGCCTACATATTAGGACAAGTAGTTTAGGAGCTTGAAGCTTTATAGAACTTGCGCTTGTATGTTAAGTGGTTTCCCTGAATCAATTTCACCGCATTGTTGCATCCTCAACTGACCATACTGTTTAGCTCGAACTATCTGACGGTTGGAACAACGTAAAGCGTAGACTGGGGGTAAGGTAGATGTGAATACTCTTAGCGCGATTGTAGGCCAACGTACATGAGACGGATATGTGAGTGTCAAGACCTTTAAAGGAACTCTAGAACGCTTATTGTTCGTTAGACGGTTGTATTCTTAGCCATTTAAGTTTCATTCAGTAGATGATGACTGAACATCTGCACATTCTGCTCGACTCAAACTTTTCTGCATGACTTATGCACTCAGGATCCGTATTCCACTATGCGAAACCCTTACTTCCTCAGCATGTAAAGATGCGGCTGGTGTGGACAAATTGAAGGCTTTGTGTTACACCCAGAGCCGAAGTAGGCCGTCGAGAGAAACTGTAGCAAATTATTTTCGTTTCGATAACATGGAAATCGTCAAGTGGTGTTGGTTTTTAGATAGTTCATCACAAATAACTCAATAGACAAATTGAACTTGCGGAAATTCCAAACAAATCATTGCCATTGGTGTTTTTCACCTCTTTTCAATTAACTTAAAAGCCATTGGAAGCTGTTGACTGCAACTGTGCAACATAATAAAAATATGTAATGCGTTTATTACTCATACTGCGTAAGTCTGTACTCACACTGCTTCATAGCTGCTTAGAAAGCTCTGAACAGCGTACACTTAGCAATACAAAAAGATTTTTCTGGAGCAATTGTCACTGAACAGCGTTACGAACAGCACTGCAAAAACATAATACTGCACTTATCTGTGAACTCTGGTTTTTCTCCGTAACTAGTTTACCTGTTGAGCAAATTCGTTTTGCAGATGTTTGTTCATTTATAAAATTAATATAAAACATTTATATTTGAGTTTTATACAAAAGATTTATGTTTTCTCTAGTACAAGACTGCGAGCATTTGAGGTATTTTGAATGTGGTTTACAGGGCAACCTGGTACATAGATTATGTTAACGTGGCCATTCAAACAGTGCAATCAAAAATTTTAACGAAAAGGAGGAAAAGACGGAAGGAAAATATCGCCGTCGTTAAATGACCGTCCCTCTATCGCTAGGATGCTGCACCGCACATAATATGTATATATAATGAAGCAGTGGTTAAGTCGTTAGCAATCTGGATAAAGGCAGATGTCGACAAGACTCAACGAACCGGCAAATCCGCACTCGTAACAAAGATGGAATCGCATTTTCTAGGAAACTTACTTCGAGGGATCTGAGCGGGACTAATGCAAGAATCCCTGGCAAAAACGATGCGATGTAAGATTGTAACGTTATTAAATGCATCTGGGCCGACAGTCATCGCCATTGCCAACAATTTAGTTAGTAAAGCACGTGAAACATGCGCGCATTGTAAGTCAGCAACCGAGTCATCAGTGAAGAACTGTGTTCCCGAATATGTAAGATAGTTGTTGGCTTGATAAGCTTGGATCCACCGTCAGTTCAAGAATAGTTGTTGACAACAGATGAGGGAAGTAACAGAGCAACAGCAAAATCGTTCGATTGTGGCCTAACCAGGAAGGCTCCTTACATGGGCTAGGATTGTGATAAAAGTTAGTTGAAAGCTTCACTCATCATAAGATATACGCGTCAAAAGAAAGAAAGTCATTAACGTTATCGATCGTACACTAAACAGCCTAGCACTGGCTATATTCGTTTTCAAAATTGAAAAATAACGGCAAAAATTAACACGGGAGCTCCAAACTGACGAGAAAAAACGAACAATTAAAATAAATTTGAAACTGAAGATAAGCGCTAGATATAACCTCTATAGCGATCACTTTTCGAAAAAGCATCGATAAAATTATAGCTTGTTTAGTTCTATTTTCATGTTGTTTTTCCCATGAATCATCAATCCAGAACCCAGAACAAGCTTATGAAGCGGCATAGTTAGGATGACGGCAGATAGTTCCAACTATTCGTAAAATTTCCATCATAACAACTGCAGCTTAATGTAACTTTTTAGCCATCAAATAGGTTTAAAATTTCGACTTGAGGTGTCGAAGTGTTTACGCAGTGCAAGTAGGAAGCGTATATATACATATATGAAAGATAAATTAAAGGTAAACTTGAAAAACAGTATTACGTAGCACGCATACGTAAAATAACATACGGTTGGGTACTTTCATAAACTACAAATCCGTGTTGCAGAAGTAATTGCGATGCACGCAGTACGGAAAAACTGACCAAAGCAAAGCACAAAGAAGTTTTTTAAGATAAAGCACAAAGAACAGGACAGCGACTACGTGCAACGTTGATTAAGAAAGGGAGATGCACACGCAAACGCTAACTCAATGCGGAAGTTCACTAATAATGATAGTATAGATAGGAATATAGATAGATAGGAAAAACATGTAGAACATTCGTCTTTCGTTATCACAATTCTCGTAATTTATTATAACACCGAGCTAAGATGCAACATAACAGCACTATATATTATTTATCGTTTCATGATAACGAATTGATAATAAATTGTATCGTAAAATATTGTTGAAAAAAATAATTCCTAACATGAATAACAAGGCATGGTTATAATTCTCGGGAATAGTAAACTAGAATACCAGCCAGTGTTTGGATAAAAAGAGAAAACCATAAACACGTACAACCCAAGGATAACTAACAAGGATAACTCGCAAGTAAACAAACAATTTAGTGAGAAAATGTGCCAGATAAACAGATTTTCAATGTTAACCTATCTCTATCATCCAAGTTAATCTACCAGCGCTTTAGAACAGCGTCAATGAGCAAACTTTCAAGATATCTTTTTGTGTGATTAACTCGACGGCCGAACAACGGGTATTTTGCTTGTAGACACAAGACAGTTTACCATGCAATAGTTTTGGGATATTTATGGTATTGAAATCGACTTAGTTGCATAGAGCAGAAGAGGCACAATAATGCGTGCAGATTAAATGATCAGCTTGTATCCCAAAATTCGGAAGTAGGTTAAGTAGTTATTTCACATTCTAGTATTCCGAACTAAATGATGGCCAGCTTTATCTGAAATAGGCAGGCGTGTGCAAGTAAGCTACAAAGTAGATGTCAATTTGTAATCCATCATCCTTAATCCACAAGCTCACCCCAGATAACCATACCCAGGATACATCGGTGTAGGCATCGTACCATATCCACCGTATGGACCGGAATACTGTGGTGGCATATAGGTCGTAGCTGTAGCGTATTGTCCCCCATACGCGTGAGAGGTTGGACCTTGAATAACACGATGAGCTGCGGCGATCATTGATGCCACGAGTGGTGAGTGCGAATGGCTTAACTGTGTGGCTGGAGAATACGCAAGTGGTGCAGTTAGCTGCGGAGCGTACGCACTAGCAGACATACGCAACGGCGGCATCTGATAACTGTAAGTAGGTAGGGTCTGGGGTGCGTAGCTATATGGTGGATACGATCCGTAAGCAGTGTACGCCACCGTTGGACCAGCTGTGAAAACATAAAAAGAGAGCCCGGTAGCATTTTTGAGGGTTAACTAGTACCACACGAGCACAACCGGTATGATTTTAATTTCACCGTGTTGGTTAGCCAGTATTTAGCCAGTGTCAACTATTCTCATAGTGGATATCTGAATGAGATTGGCATGCATAAAATAAAAAGAGGTTGACAAGACTTTTAAATCAAAATGGCGATCTGGCATAGATGCTACAGGCAGTTTAAATGTGAACCATATAGGAAGTCTCAGACTAACCTGAACTTGCTTGTGGCAAATATTGCACAGAGCTATACGGTTGACTAGAAGGGTATCTTTTTTTCGAGGATCCATTGTTAGGCTGACGTACGATTATAATTCGTGATGGCACATGTTCAGAGGCAGACGTCATCATTCCGGCATGTTGAACTCTACTGTCGCCTTGATAGTGATAGTGACGCGCTGACCCGTGACGAGGATAAACGTGACCATGCGAAAGAGCATGGAAATGAGGAGTTGGGCTTTGAATATATCGGGCGCTTGTAGTAGACCCTGACCCAAGCAACTGTGACGAGCTTTTGAAGAAGTTTATATATTTTGAGGTTCGTTTTGGTGATTCTGCGGATGCCTTTCCATCAGTCAAATACATGACAACGAGGGGCAAAAGAAGTCCCACCTAGAAGAATCATACGGTGAATTCTGATGAGACAAGGCTTCTTCGATTACGTGTTCCTGTAGCCTGCAAATGCAGTTGTCTTCTGCTGCTTTGAAGCTCCAGAGCATCGTTATACTGAGAAGTGTTCCAAATTATAGCAGTTGCTCACACTTCTGTTATTTCATATCCAAAATTTGGTTCGATTAAGTGTAATCCGATACGTATGTTCCGAAAACTTTTATATTTACTTAAATTTAGCTTCCTTATTTTAAAATTAATTGGATTGATAGACCGGTCGTTTGAAAGGCATGCAGATAATAGGAGCTTCAGAACATGGAGATTTTTTTCATTACATATTCAAAGGATTTCCTCTGCTGTATGCACAACGTAAAGACAAGGCCTCAATATGTACTAACTCTAATTAAACAACTGACCTTTGTCGTTTGATAGTAACCACGAAAATGTTTATAGCGCAATCAAACAGTTGTCTATGAAGTGCAATTTGAAGTCCGACTTTATTCTAAGCTTCTACAAGAAATTCGGACTGTGATATCGGAACCCTCGCCCTGATAAACTTTGTTAAAAAATCAATGAGACGTTTCTTGTTAATAGGTTTTGATTCAAACTGCTTTGTTTGAAGTAATATCACCTGGATATAACACACCCTTAGGACCGCTTGTTCCAATTCTCAAAAGATTTTTAAATTCGATCATTAGAACAGTTTTTGTGCTCAAACAGCGACTTTTATTTTATGTCTCTTATCTTGTCGAAACGCTTATTATTTGGAAATTTTAGTTTTGGGAATAGTAAACAGTTATTTGGATTAGGTTCGGCAAATATAGGGGTTAAAACAATACAGGCATCAAGTTTTTCGTAAGAACTGCTGTGATGTGTGTCATCATGGAGGACTCTGGATCTATTGCACTACACTTTTGGGGCCTTGCGTCAGACAGACTTTCGCAATCTCAACTGCTTGATAAATTTTTTAATGACCGCGCAACCGGAGGGCGTAAACTCATGACGAACAATTTTTCAACGGTCAACTAAGTAGCACTTTAGTTTTGGGCCTGTACCGTGCGACTTTCTTCGATGAAGGTTCGTCTGTTAACAGATTCTTGGAAGATCCTGCCTTGGTCTGCTTGTCGTAGCCGTATACCCACGTCTATTCTTCGGTAACACGTGTACAAGCAAGTTTCGCTCCTCGAGAAATCTCAAAACGTTCTCCTAACTCAGTTCTCCTCGGGTTAGTTAGCTGCTTGGCAGTCCTCTGTTCCGACACAAATTTTGTTGTAAGCCTTCCGAGGCCTAAATAATTGGGTCAATAACCTGGCCAATTGAGAGTTTTATCTTTTCTGCTAGCTCTCCTATGATGATTGGCAAGCCGGAATTGTTCACCCTCTTTACGCCCTCGTCCGTAATTGTTCTCAAAGGCCTTCCAGAATAAGTATCACTTTCAATAAACTCCTGTCGTCTTAGAAGCGTTTGAACCACCCGTTTACTCTAGCCCTACTCGCTGTCCGGTTGCCGTGGTGTTATGCGATTGATTTTATTTTTTATACAAAACCTAATGCACGCTCATCGGAAGACTAGAGATTGCGGCAGAGTAATTAACTTGAATTAGTTGTAAAAGTTGTCATGGACCTTAGGGTTTCCTTTCTGGTTTAGATCTTTGTTAGCATACTGCTCAAGCCTTTTAGTCAACGGACCTGGTATGTAACACATCATTCTGTTTTCTTAATATGATGAAGAATTATATAAAAACTTATTCTAAATTCGGATAACTTCAAATTAAAAAAAAACCTGTTTTGAATTGTAGAGACCGTATCTCATGAAACAAACGCAAGAAATTGAGCTTATACAATTGAGGTTTGTTAAAGGTGTGTTGTTCAGATGAGGTATAAGCTGAAATGATCTTGATTTTTAATAAAAATTTACAGTAAAATTCTATACACGATCAAATTTTAATTACAAGTAGAGCCTTTTAACTTAACACAAAATGATCTGGCGTTCAAGAGGCGTCATCGATTCGAAGTGGCAAAACGTAGTGCACCAAAGATGGTGCTGTTGTGCTACCACCAAAATATCAAGCGAGCAGAAATAATTTTCGGATTTATGCACTTTAGTATCTTCTAAATGATCTATAAGCAATCAGTGATCACTTAGCGATTAGTATTATTATAGCTAGGCAGGATGGCTAGGCAGTGAGGATACAAAGTAATCATATAAGTTGTATATTTGAAACTACCGTATACGTATGTATATTCGCTCTCTTTGATTTAACAAAGATGTGCTTGGTTGGACTTGAAATATGCCCATTGAATGATGACACAAATAATAGATAGTAAGCTGACTGGAGGAAATCGTATTTCGGAGTTTAGTTCATCTAGGGTGGGCTAAACGTGATGAGTTTTGTTTTACAAATAGGTACTTGACGAGATTTTTATTTTAAAATTTTTATTTTAATTTCAAGTTTAATTTTTAGCGAATAACTGATGTATTTTTTATTATAATCTTTAACGTAAAGGAATGGTGATGAAGATTGGTAACATTTTATCACATATCGAGTAAGATGTAAATTATCACACAGAAGGCAGCAAGCGTCCTACGTTATTGGAGAAATGAAGCAATTTTTGTTATTGTAATAATAAACGCTTATTTTTCTTTTGCGCACGTTTTATAGTTAAGCATGTTCATAAGCGTACGTTTAGTAAAACAGTGAGATGCGTACTTCCATCACAATAATTTGGGCTGGAAATATGTATAGTACGTATTGTCCCTGTTCCACCACTATGGCCCATTATCCTTTCTTCAAATCTTTCTTAAAAACTTTCTTCTCAAAAAAATTCCGAAAGGCGCCTTAAGTCAGTGGTGTACAAGACAAGAACTGTTCTATACAGGTGACCTGTCGCTTTTACTTGCAGCAATTGTTAGCCATAGTCAATATCTATATGGGCTTATTTGAACTCGAAGGGAATAAAACACGAGGCGATGAAGCTCCGTCGAGTTAAGCCTGTAAAATCGGAAAGTGCAGGAAAGCGTTGATAGGCACAACAATTAAGAGTTCATACAAATAAATGGCCGCTAAATACAATAACTATTTAAGGTTGCGCTTGCCTTGTTGAATCTCGAAATTACCCAGCATTGGCAGTTTCTTTACCTAATGGCATACCAAGCTAAGCCTTCCTAAACGAATATTGGGACTTCGTTTTACCAAATCTATTGGCCTATTTAGTTCAAAATGGACCATTTTTCTTGGAAGACCTGAAGCGGAGATTCTACGAGGAATAAAGGTGCGTAGGTGGTGCGAATGTTATCACCACTTATGAGAACAATGCGACAACCTTGGACTACAATTTTTTAAAAAATGCTATGAGCGATGAAACCTGAAAGGGTCAAAACAGGCCAAATCGTTATTTTGTAGAACATATTCGAATCGACAAATATTGTCTATGTAAACCAAAAAGCACATGACGTTGTAGCTGTTTTAAAGACTGTTGCATATTGGGTCAGGCAAGCCACCGCCATACTATAACTTCTCTAACAGTTGCCGCAAGTTCCTGGCCAATTTCCCATCTATCCCACAGTTTTAAAATCTTTGAAAACATGTTATCAATGTTTATATGCTCATAATTGGTGTTCAAAGGAACGCCAAGTAGTGCTTCTAGAGATAAAACCGGTAACCACATTTTAATTCCCGCTATCACCTCAATCTACTGAACCGTTTTGCTAACATGTGCACGGTCAAAGCTTCGTTCCTGTTCATGTGATCGTTTGGCGCGCCACACTGAGCACATTTGAAAATTCTTTATGTTTTAATGTAGACACAGCTTATAAGACTATAAAAACTGTTTATTTTTAACTCATTTTTTCTTGATTGTGCCTGGATAACGCTTCCAATGAGGATCTGTTCAGCAAGTTAATCTAGCTTCAGTATTGGGTTTTATAATGTAAATGATTCGCCAGTCTTTTCACGAGCCAGTCTTAAGCGTTGTTGATACTGCTTCAGCCTGCGGTTTTGGAAGAAGCTACATTTGACAAAAAGCTACGAGAATGTATTAAAGCGGCGAAATCGATGTTAGTTTACGGTCTACCCTATAGTTTAAAAAACCGAACGCATCATCAGCCGAATATGTGCAGGAACTTGAAGGGAAGACGGTTATGTGCGATTTCGGGACAACCTATGACCTGAAATTAGTCATGATAATGGCTAAACTGCTAACAAAAGTAAGTTAATTTGACATGGCTCGATGGTCGAATCTAGACATCCGCGTAAAAAGACTTTTGTAAGGAAACTTTGAGAAATGGGTGGATGAATGAGTGGGGAAACATTACCAACAGCGCCGGAGAAACACACAAGGGATACGTGTCTATAAGGTCAAACGTTTTTTGTATTCGCGTAATAGTGTCCAAAAAAGGAAGCTGTAAAACACTCCTAGGACGGGGTCGGCCAAAGAAAAACACGATCGGTGATTGAGAGATCAACTTATATTCAGCTGCAAAGCAGAGTATCGTGAGTAAATTGTCGGCAGAAACACAATTAGCTTCACTTGTGGTGTCAGTTGAAATTCCAATAGGCATGAAGCGCGTGACTGTAATGGCTGAGAAGATTCAACGGACTTAAAACGACCTAACTAGAAACCAAAACTATACGTCGCAAAATTGGACATAGTAGCAGTGCCGAATGCCATCACCTTATCAAAGTATTCGATGAAGACATGTTACAGGGATTGCAGGATAAACCACACAACGCCGCCTTTGTGCTTATAGCTTAGCAAGAGAGAGTGTGCGTATTGGCAAAATGTGTCTACTGTGGAAATAAAAGGCTACTTGAAAGAGATGTGCAGATCAAGAGATACTGGATAAGGTGAGATTAGGCGCGGCAGCAAGAAAGTGAAAACTATATTAAAAAATCCAAATTGAGCTTCTGGTAACCGCTTGAATTATTTACCGGTATGTGCACAATTAAACGCACAAGGAATGACAATAATAGTTAACTTTTGCTTTGAATACACGTTAATGTC